AATTGCATCTCTGTGATAACATGGTACGATAACGTGAACTGATGTACGTACGAATGAAGTTTTACATTTTCTCTGACTGACTGACAGACTGAATTTTATAACCTTCCTGAGAATAATATTTCTGAGCACACAGAAGAAAGATTCTACTGTTTGGTGCTTTTCTTGTCACTCTTACACACAACACTCATTAATAGTTTCATAAAGAGAGAGAGAGAGAGAGATTTTCGTAATATTTTCTGAATAAACGTGATACAATAGACTATGAGAGTTTTATCTTTGCAGAAAATGAAAGCTAATATACATATATATGGTTGAAAGATATCCAGCCATACATATTTTAATATAAATGATTATGTCACATGTTTTCAATAAATTATCATTTGACATATAAATGTTTCCTTTGTTTTTTCTATAACTGATTGAACATATATATATATATTTCAATTAGAGTTATGAAGATTAGTGTTTTTATAGACTGAAATTATCAATCAATGATTGTTAGACCACCGTTAGAAACTTCGAAGCACTGAAAGACGGCCGTTTCGTCCTGGCATAGGACTCATCAGCAGTACTCATTCACGATTCATGAACCTTGCAGGATTCGAACACAGGTCCTGCGGTCTTGCGCTCGAACGCCTAACCTCTGGACCACCGGGCCGGCATCCAACGGTGTTAATGTCCAGCACTGATTGATCTCGATATTTGGCGTGACCTCACCTATTTGTCTTTGGTAGTAGTTACTGCTTACATCTGACAGGGTTGAACTCCACTAATCACGTCTTCTCACTAGAACTCCGAGAAATTCCTCACGAAGCTAGTCACTAGTGAGCACATTTTATGATTTTTGAATTAGAGTTATGAAGATTAGTGTTTTAGTACAGTGAACACCATTAGAAACCTGGAGGCCACCGGATATCTGTTTCGTCCTGGTTTGGGAATCATCAGTTGTGTGCATCCACTAGATTAGGTGTACTACAGATGCTTGTTCAGTCCTTATATCCACGAGTAATGTACGCGAGTTGATTGGAAAATGAACTAGGAATGGATTGACTATAATATGGAAATAACCAACTAAAATGATGACTGTTTGTTTGAAGTTGTATCAATAAGGTTTGAGTCCCTTCGTTAAGAACTTGACATTAACCATAATCCATTATCGAAAATGTTGATGAACATAACAAAGAAAGATAATCAGAGCACAAGCCAAATTCATATGACTTTTCCCTTCATCATATCAAATTGTGAACACAGAATTTTATGCAATACTTTAACAGAAAAGAATTAACCTCAGTCAACTTGAACTAAAAGTATGACAGGTTACAGGTTTTCTCTACTTCAGTTTTCAGCGGTACAAAATTGTCATCAACTCATTATTATACGAAATGTTTAACCTAAGTCAACTGACTGGTTTGGTGTTTCAAAGGATCTTATTGTTTGTTGAGAACAATAATGTTATATAAGCTTCCATCAGTCATTAAACTGACAGTAGAACTATTATTTCTGTTACTGCTAGTACTACTTACTATTAGCACTACTACTACTATTAACTCCGCCTGTAGACTCTTCGGGGCTACTGCCGGTCCCGAGCTCGGATAAAGGAGGGAGGTTGGAATGCGGGTTGGCGACCCCATGCCAGAAAAAAATTGGGACAACTGGAATTGAAACCTAAGATCTCAGTCAATCTAGCTGCTAAAACTGGACCACCATCCTTAAAAACCTCAGGGGTCAATCTATCGGGACTCGCTGCTCTCCCTCGCTTCAGATTTTCCATCGTTTTGACAGCTTCATAAAGATTCGGACAACTTACATAGATTTGCCATTCAGGATGATTGGAGATCATGGGCAGAAGAAATGTGGCTGCGGGGCCAATTGAACTGATCCCTTAAGTGATCTTCCCATAGATACAATCTTCAGGATTGAGAATGGATCATAAGCCCATCCTTTTCTGAGATAGCCCTACTCAATCTACTACTACTGTTGTCATGATCAAAGACGTCACGATCAGATATAACAGTAGTTCATTTAGAGAAGACACAATGTGTGGTGTATAGCCGTTAAGAGTAGAGGAAATTCGTAGGTTACTAGTATTTGATCACAGATGTCTGAGAAGCATTGCTCGTGTATCCTGGGACAACCGTATAAGCAATGCTGCCATTATGAAACGAGTTCGAGGTAGGGATGGCAAGTCAATAGATGAAGCATTGAAACTTCATCAGTTGAGGTGGTTGGGACATGTGCTGCGTATGCCTAACCACCGATTGCCTCGACGAGCTTTGTTTTGTAGTGTAGAAGTAGGTTGGAAGAAAGCTAGGGGTGGCCAAACCAAAACATGGCAGAAATCCATGAAGTCATTAACAAATGGACTGAGGCATGTTGGTAGATGTAGGCTACGTGGTTGGGGTCCGCGAGACGAAAGTCACCAATGGTTAGAGACCTTGAACGACATGGCTCAAAATCGTTTGCAATGGCGCAGGTGCATCCACTGTTTGTGTTCTCTCTAATTCTAACCTTCTGAATTCCTCATAATCTCTATCTTTCTCCTTCTAAATTTATCTCACTGAATTATACTTTTCGAAACATATCTTCGCTACCTAAACTTCTCCATTGCTTCTAATAATTCTACTATCGCTATCACTCTTGGATTTGATCTGACATTTACGTCTCCGTGCTGACGTGGTATGGCAACCTGAACTGACGTACTTACTTACGAAGTTCTGCGTTGTATCTGTCTGTCTGTCTGTCTTATCTTCTGGCATTCATCTTCATAACAATCAGATTATTAACTGTCCTCTTTCATAAGTTTTCTAATCTTTAAAACACTTTGTTCGTGCCACTAAATTCGAATCCAAAACACTTCCCTAACGTTCTTACTTCTAGGTGACACTCCACTGTATACTACCTACTTTGAAAACATGCTGAAAGTAGTATCCACTGTCACTAATATAAGTAAAACCAATGCCATTAATAATAATAATAATAATAATAATAATAATAATAGTATATCAATCATTCATAGTGAACTTCTTACCGGTCTTTCATTACCATCCAGTTCTTCTTTTGACGTAAACAAACTTAAACAATCCAATATATTGACATTTGGTTTCTAGTAAAATTGAACAACGAAAGAGAGTGCATATCACAGTTTGAAAAAACAGAACAGAACAAAACAAAACAAAATTCATAAATAGATAGATATGAACACAGTTCTAAAAATAACACTTTTGAATGGAATCTTTCTTTTTTGGAAAATGTGAATAAAGTTTTTATAATTCATTTCAAATTCTGATTATCATCATTTGAATGGCATGTCTGAAAATAGTTTGTAATGGCTCAAGTGCATCCAACATTCTTTGGCTTCTTCTTCCTTCAGTCAACTCCTAATAATCGTCTGAATTCCTCCTTATGGACCGTCTTTGTTTGTAATGGCGATTTGAACACAGATGTACGAACACGTACAAAACGTTTTACATTATCACCAACTGACATTAGGGAGATTATAAAATAGTATTCAAAGCTATAAAATTTTACTGCTACAGGGTTGTGGAGAACATTGAGTTTCACGATCGATGTTCGATCAACATTGAAAAAACCTGGGAGCACTAGGTGACCTTTTTTTTCGCTACTGTGGAACTAACTCATCAACAGTGTGCAACCACAATTCTCGCATCCCAGAATTGAACCTAAAGCCTACAGTCTGGCGTGCGGACGCTTTACATCTGGATTACTGAGTAGTCGGCATCCAATGGTGTTAGTTTCTAACACCTCAATCCATCCACACCGTCTTGCACGATGTCAGCTATAGTCTTTAGTGGGTAACAAATTCACCGGTCTTAAAGTCATGAATCAATAAAATTTTAAATGTAGAGGAACATTGTGACTAATTATAGTTTCTATTCTTCGGTATATTTCTTTTCACTAATCACGATCATCATTATCTTAACTTCAATCAAGAAGTTTCAATCTTATGATAAAAGGTAAAGACTAAATAAAAGTCTGTGGAATTCCTAAACAAATGACTTGTTATAAGTTTGAATTTTACTGTAGCCTTCTTTTAATTTATTTTTTTTGTAAAATATGTTAATGAAAATGTTAACAAGTTAAATAAACGTTTAAATTTTGTTAAAAACCATTCATCTAACTGCACCACAAGACAAGCCATCCTCAAGGCCGAAGGAAAAGTCAATCAGTCAGTCAGATGCAACGTAGAAAGAACTTCGTACGTAAGTACATCAGTTCATGTTGTCATACCACATTAGCACAGAGTCGCAATTGTCAATTCAAATCCAATAGTAGTAGAGGTAGTAAACGTATTAGAAGTAATCGGAGAGGTTAGGATTAGAAGATATTATTCAACAAGTATGATTCAGTGAGAAAAGTTTAGAAAGACAAAACTAGAGTTCTTGAAGAATTCAGAAGATTAGGATTTGAGAGAACACAAAGAATAAATGCACCGGCGCCATTGCAAACGGTTTTGAGCCATATCATTCAGGGTCTCTTACCATCGATTATTATCATCTCGTGGACCCCAACCAGGTAGTCGACACCTACAGACATGACTCAATCCAGCTGTTAGTAACTTCATGGATTGCTGCCATGTTTTGGTTTGGCCGCCCCTAACTTTCTTCCAACCTACTGCTACACTACAAAACAAAGCTCATCCAAGGGAGCCGGCGGTTAGGCATACGCAGCACATGCTGAAGGAAAAGAGGAAGACTAGAGAACACATTACGCTAAGAATTGGAGAACGACATGAGATAAATAGAACTAGTAGAAAGGAAAACATTGAAGACAACAGAGTAGGTTGAAGAATGCTAGTTGGTGGTGTTCTCTATTCTCCATTACTGATAATAGGCGTTAGTAAGTAAGTAAGTAAGTAAGTAAAGTAAATCGTTTTTTTAACCAGGTTTTAGTTTCGCATATATATAGCCATTTTTTTTCAATTTTCCAAATATCGAATTTCAGAAAAAAATATCACTGACACAATAAATGCCAAATGATTATTGATTTGAATAATCATAACAATAATAGTACTACTACTACTAATAATAATAAGTAATATTAATAAGTATAACAAAAATAATGATGATGTGTACGTCATCAATGTTATTAAGTATGCACTTTTCAAATCCTATTCATTAATCAGCGCATTTCAAAAATGATTGCTTTTTTGTTATCTCTTACATTAATAATAATAATCATAATAATTATAATTTGACAGTGAGTGAGTGAGTGAGTGGATAAACTGATTATTATCGGTTTGGTTGTTTTATTACGTACGTACGTATATGTACGCATATGTATGTATAATTTGCATGTTACACACTTTGTTTGTTTGTTGCCTAATAACCACAATATAAATAATTTATAGACATATTTCTACTTTTATTTTTGGATTGGTATTTTTCTGACAGACTATTGATATCTTTAATAAATGAAAAAGAAATTAATTGAACATTACAGCCTACTGATTATCTTCTCCTAAAGAAGGTTATGATGAATTGGTGGAAACAAACAAATTGGAGATAAGATTTAGAGTTAAAAGGTAGTTAGTGTTGGGAATTAGAGTTGGCGTTTCTTGTTATCACAAACTACTAACACTAGTCACACTATGCCTAAATGTTATTTAGCCCATGCATGCATGAATGAATCTCGTGCGAAAATCTAAAATACATCAACTTAAAGATGGTGGAGAAAACTTGTAGCTCAGGTGGATAATTGTGGTGGTGTTTCGTTCTTTCTGAGCTGTGAATGTTTTGGTTGTGGAGCTTTCATTGTTCTTCTGCTGCTGAACAACATCGTCTTCAGCACAAACTTCAGATAGAGGAGAAGTGAAGTATTCGAATTTCTCCACGTTTGTTCTGCTAACCTCGATCTTGATTGGTTGCTGTTGACTTTTGACCTGTCGTTGTTTGCAACTTTGTTTTGATTGCTTCCCCTTTTTGATCTGTTTCTTGATCCTGTGTCACCTATGATTTTCCAGATTGGTTGATAAATTGGGTCAATGTCGATGTGTTTGTTGATTGCTCATTGACCTGAGTGCCAAGCTTCTAAAAATTCTCTAGTGTTCTCTAGTGTCCTCCTCCTATCCAGTATTTCCACATTGTTCTAATCAAATGTGTGTCCATCATTGTCGATGTGTATTGATATAAGTGGCGTTTGACTGCTAATTGATGTCCACGTAAACGGAGCTGAAGAGGTCGTCCACTTTGTCCTATGTAGTGTTTTTCACAGTTTGAGCAATTTATTTTGCAGATAACACTTGGATTTTCTTCCTTTGTCATTTTGTCCTTTGGTCTACATAGAATCGATTGAAGTGATTCTGTTGGTTTGTGTGCCACACCTATTCCAAATGGTTTCAGTAGTCGTGCCGTATGCTCCGATATGTCTTTGATATATGGCAGGATAATGCGTTTATTTGTTTCTGTGCTTGATTTCGCTTCTGATGATGGTTTCGGTTGATGTTTTTTGATGAAGTTGCTACAGGTCAAACGTGGAGAAATTCGAATGCTTCACTTCTTCTATCTGAAGTTTGTGCTGATGATGTTGTTCAGCAGAAGAACAATCAAAGTTCCACAACCAAAACAACCAGCGCAGAGAACGAAACACCACCACAAACATCAACTTAAATTTGAATGGTTATCACCTGCTCGCCAAATCTACATATTTAGGCATTGTGGGAGAGAACAAAACAGATTCGAGCAGAGGGCGAAATCAAGAAGAAGCTCTAGAAATGGATAGGACATATATTGAGGGAAGCACCTAACTACGTCACACAACAAGCCCTCACTTAAAATTCTCAATACTAAAGGAAAAGACCAAGAAAGACCATTACGCCAAGAAACGGAGACAGATATGAGAAGAATGAATAGTAACTGGATAGAACTATAAAGGAAAGCTGGGGGCAAAGTAGGTTGAAGAATGCTGGTTGGCAGCAGCCTATACTCCACTATGGGTAACAGGCGTACGTAAGCAAGTAATTTATATATAGGCCAGTGGATTTCTACAAAACAGGTTTAGAAATATACTATGATACTATAATAAACTTCGACTTCAGTCTCGTTTAGAATTTCATTCAAAGACTTCATTAACTGAAACTACATATATTGTGATCTCGTAATCCTTAACTTTTCCTCTTACCAGTAATGCTAATTAGAATTCGTGATATCTAAACTAGAATCAAACATGTCTTGGCCACTGAAGTCAATGATCATTCATATCTCAACTAATGAATATGTTGGTTGGTTAATAAATAATACATGGACTCCGAAATGAGATAGTTCATAGATCATTACTCAACTTACTACTACTGTTATTATTGTGTACTGAATGTCTGTCTGATCTAAGAAGGAATACCACAACTCAATGTCAAAAACGACGCATATGAAACAAATGCTTGCTTCCAAGTCATTAGTGACTATGTGTGTGTGTTCTACAATTGATGTTTTACAGCCGAATGAAATACTAGTTAGTAGTATACTACTACTGTGGTGCGAGCTACTTATAAGTAGTATATGACGTAAGTGTCGTCAACGTAATGTCTGGCAGCAGAAAATGGGGGAAGATCAAGAAAGGAAGAGTTAGAAAACAATGGAATTTGTATGAAACGAACGCATGAATGGTGACAATGGATTGATGTTTTGCAACAGGAACAACAGTCCAGTTCGATATGATGAACTGATATTTTGCAAATGAACGATTTACGATATGGTTTTCCGATTTTACTGAGTAACTAACTCTGTAATTTTCGTTGAATACAATCCGGTTGCCCCACCTGTGTTCTCCTTCATTACACTACTCTAATTTACCATTAGGGATGTATGTAGGCAAAAACGAAGTCAAACTTTTCTATATCCTACCTGGATTTCGTCATTTATATAACAAGCTAGAAGATGTAATGTATATTTTTCATAAAGTGAATTGAGTACAATGTCTTTCTTATCCTCCTTTATTTATTGATTATTGCTGACAATGTCTGTCATTGGATTCAATATTGTATTCAAAATGACACAAGAATACGCACACACACACACACACATACACACAAACTAATCAGCTGATCATGAATAATAAAATTTGCACCGCGTTCAAAATTCAATCTAGTTC